CATTTTCTCGTGCACAGGGTCTATTGGGACACAGCCAGCTACGATACTGGAGACTGCTTCTTTTTCTTCTTCGGGGTTTAACGGCAGCTGGCATCCTTGTACATGCAGTGCTGCCACCTTCTGTTTCAGTATGTTATTACACTCTTAAATCCTTCTACTTATTCCTGCGTCTTTCTGGATCTTACAAAGCTTCAAACGACGCGTCGACTATTAAATTTGTCATCGAAATTTTTGATAGTCGACATAATCGTGACTAGTCGACTAATCGTGGCAGCTCTAAAACACACACCCAGTTTCTGCTGCTCTGTCCACAGCAGCTGCTTCGCTGTCAGTCTGTATTATGAGCCTAACCTCCTCAAATGTATTTAAAATGACTGATGGTGGGGTAAATGATAACAGAAATATATTGTGGATACGATGAACCAAGTCGTAGTACAGGCTCTGATATTTTCACATTTACTTCAAAAGCAGGAATTAAATATATTATTTCAGTTCATGCATCTTAGAAAAAAAAATCTTATTCAGAATCAGCATCCCTGCCACGACACCGATACTGATGTTATAAAAACTATTTAAAAAGAAACATCTGTGTACGTCTGACGTGTTTTATACCGGCTGTGATCGCGTTGGATTCAGGCCCTGCCTCCTCAGGCTGACTCGCTCCTTCGGCCGCAGGTACGGCGAGTTCCACTGAAACCACTCGTCATGGCGACGGCTCCACTGCAGGTAGTGGATCAGGACCCGCTCTTTGTCATAATCAATCTTCTCAATGGTGGCCGTGTACCTAAAAGAAGGACAAACTTTTAGTTCACCATTAAATTTGAAGTATGTTCTCCCAAAAATCTTTATAATTTCCACATTCAAAATTAGCTTTTGTTTAGCTACAAATTAGAGGATATTTACACACCACAGGAAAGGTTGGGCCTTTTGAATTCACACATGAGCACAGCTGGTTGCATATCTTTAAGGCAATGAGTCAGTGTTACCTCATTTAATATAAGTCTGTTCCTTTTGCTTTTTTGTTGTTATTTGGTGGATTAAAAATCATAAAAAAGTTAAATACTTTATTAAAATCCTGGAAAAAAAATCGTCACCAGTATCTGAAAGTTTCCTGTATGTTGGCTGAACTGCTGTGGGAACTTAAATGAATCATCCACTCATCGGATTTCCACAGACCAGACTCATAACAAAGGGACTATTAAGAAGTCGCTAACCCACACTTTACTTTAAAAGCTTGAATGAGTGGGTACATCATAACAGCAGAAGCTCAGTAAAACAAACAATTAATTTTTGGTATTTTGAGTGTGTTAGTGCACAGGAGAGGTGAGGAAGAGAGTGCAAGGAGGGTGTACATGAGTGTCGGGGTGATTAGTGACAGAAGGAGAGCAGCAATAGTGAAAGGGAAGGTTTACAAGATTGTAGTGAGGCCCATTGTGATGTTTGGTTGTACAGGAGGCAGAGCTGAAGATGTTCAGATGTTGAGTAGGAGTGAGCAGGATGAACAGGATTAGAAATTAGTGCATCAGAGGGAGGGCTCAGAGTCAGGGAGGAAAGGCTGAGGTGGTTATGATGTGTGTAAGAGAGTGAGAGTGGATATTTTGGGCAAAGGCTGTTGAATATGGAGCTGGTGGTTGGAGTAACAGAGGAGGATGCAGGGACACAGTGAGATGGAGGCAGATCATCTGCTGTGACGAACCCTAAGGGAAAGAATAAGTGTGTGTGTGTGTGTGTGTGGAAGGTGGTGGTGGGGAGGAGTCTTCTGACCAGTTCTTGTGGCGGTCTCGAGCTTCTAGCTTGGCTCCGACTTCAAATGTGATGCCTGATCGGTCTGGAGGCGTCTTCATCTGGTACAAAAACACAGGAAGTGTTGATGTGAGCATTTTCTGTCATTTTACTGTGGAGTTTATTTGACAGTTCAATATTTTTAAGCCATTTTCTTTTGTTTTGATGGAGCACAGCGGTTATCTTCAATGTTGGATATAAATATTCTATTTGCTATGTTTCATTATTTGTGGAACAACAAGTGTAAATGGACAAGGTGAATAAAAACTCAAAGGCGGTCCATTCTAATAACTTAAAAACAGAGTATAGGTTGAACTAAGCAAATTCCTAAATAAACTCAAACTCTAGATATGCCAAAGATTTATTTTCTTTACAGTTTTCCCCCATATTGTATTTATTACCTTAACAAATAAATGTTTGAATTTTCTTTTTTCTTCTATTTTTGCTAACTATCGTTGTAAGTTAAAAAAAAAAATAAGCAAGAACACATAAAGGTCAAAGGTCGCGAACGCTACTGTACGTCACGTTGCGTGATGACGGCATACATATGATGACGTTGCGCCCGTCTCTGATAACGGTTGCAGCCCAACTTTTTTTAGTGTAGTTATTATCAGCTTTCCAGGGGTGCAGTCTGAATTTCGACTGAACAAATGTGCGAATGTTAAACTCGAACAGTTTGTAATGAATGAAACAGACATTGTTTTGACTTTCCGCTTGATATTCCTTAGCTTTCTTAGTAGAAGAAGATAATTGGTCTTGAAGACTCCTAAGGACGCCTACTCTCAATTTTATTGGCTGTCTCGGTCGTCAGTCGCTCTAAATGTCCCTCCCCTGTCTAGCTTAACAGATATTTGACAGCGGCTAAGATGCTAATGCTATCAATGTTAGCTCTAAATATTAGCACAGAATGACACCGGACGAAGCGGAAAGTAGTTTAAAAGAACACTTCAGTAAAAGACACCAGCGTAAGAGAAGATACAGTCGCATGTTTAAAGCTGTCCCCTGAGCTGGTGCAGTTCAGCGGAGTTGGATCGCCTCTCCATTGACTGTGAATACAGAAGCTAACACAGCTAACAGTTCGCTCCTGCTGAAGCAGCTTAGGCTGACAAGTCTCACTGACCGCTGCGAGCAGCCGCAGGCCTCCTGTCGGCCAGCGGAATATTTAATAAAATGTATCTGCACTTTAATTACAAACATGAGCGTGGAATATGTAAACGAGAAACACAAAAGCTTGTTTACCTCTGACGTTACTTGTTCTCTGCACTCCTCATACTGTGATGACTATAGAGCGCATGCGCGAAGGGGGCCGAGTTTCTGGCAGGGATGGGACGCTTGAAAAGCGTTTCTTCGCTGTGTCGAGCCTCCGACGCGAAGACGTTTCAAAATACTGCACCGAACACAGAGATCACGTGACCACGAATAAACGAGGCTTTGGTGCCCCAGTTCCGACAGGTGGTGTACCTGCTGCTTCCGGGCACTGCGAGGCGTCAGGATTCACATTTTTTTAATGAGCCAGAGTCATTTGTAATTACTGAATTAATGTTTTTGTATTTATGACACGCGCATGTGTAACAGAAAACAAGGCCCTCTCTCTCTTTATTATTTTCGTTGTGGTTAATGGAGACCGATATTATCTAATTATTTAAATCCACAGAGAAAGAGACGTCGGCGCTTATAGTGTAAAAGAAATGTTAGAAAAACACATGAATACAGGTGACCTACTTCTTAACGATTTTCACCACATGCGTTTTTTTCTTTCATCTTTTTAAGTTCACTGACGCTTCTGCTGCGAGTATCTCATAAACAGCATCTCCAAGATGTGGCGATAGTACAATTGTCCAGCAGGTGTCACTGTGGAGATGTTTTCAGATCGTCTCGAAGCCTGAATATAATTCCAGCACACATGCGTGGCGTGTTTCAGTGTTTCATGAAGCCTCGCTTTGCACATCACTGCCATTAACCAGCGCACAGTGAGGTTTGGAGAAGAAGAGACGTGGCTTCAGTTACAAGTTCTGCCTGTTTATTAAAAGAAATCAATTACTTACAAAAGAAAATAAGATATGTTCAATAACACTTAATGGCATTCATAAAGAAAACCGAGCTAAGCCTGAAGTTGTACAATTGCATATCATGCGTATTACTGTGTCAACGACAGGGCAAAGTAAACTGCAGCAAAAATCTTATTGAAAATCATATCAGGCTGTGAACTTCTGGGACTAAATGCACTTTTCACACACAGAAACATGCACTAGCAGTGAACCTGAGATAAAACCTGCAAGTTAGGACAGTAACTTGGACATAACCTGCAGAGTAGATCAAAACCACAGCTAAGCAGAGCATAAGAGACAGCTGATGAATGCATGGGAGCACAGTGGAGTGAGCACTGAAGTAAATGGAAGTGACAAGCGTGCAAAAATGAGCTGATCTGGGGTGTTTTCATTAGTCTTGTTGAAAATGAAAATGATTAAAATGCAGTTCACTAATGTTCACTTGAGGCTCCAGTGAGTCAACCATAGACTTGATGTCCAACTTTACACCGGAAATAAACACGTTTTACAAGGGTGACAGACAGAGACCAAGACGTTTTTGTCTTTCTATCTGCAATTTCCTCCTTTATAACAAACATTCAGGGAGTTGTTTATTTCTAAAACGTAACCTATTAAGTTGTATTGAGGCTTAAAATGTGCACATTTATGGGTGTAGTTGCTGTGAATTTCCCAGGTCTGTAAAAAGACTGAAGTCTTCAAGTACAAAAACAAACCCAGGTGTGAATCCAGAGAGTCTCATGTGTGATGTGTGAGTGTAGAGTAGGTCTGGTCCTGGTCCCTGCCGGCTGGATCGAGGCTCTGGTAGGTCGAGTCTTCACGTGTAGAACCTGGAGTACAGTTCTCGTAGTGGACGTCCTGAAACAGAGACAAACTGTCTTCTTCACATAAAAAGAAGAGACTCTGACTTGGTTAAATCATTTGTGCTAGAAAGAAAGTCACCTCCATGTTTGTGCCCTCTGAGTTTGCTCTGGTCCTCAAACCTGTGGAACAAACAAAGGATGTTCCTCTGTTAGAGGGAACAATCATTCAAAGTGCACATGAGGCTGAAGATCACTGCTGCCCCTCCTGTTCTTCTGCTTAGTTGGACTTTATTAGGCTTCACTTTAGACTTTGCCTTCAGAATCAAAGACTCACATTTGCTCGAGTCTCCTCCTGTGTACTGAAGAAGTGATCCACAATAATTATTCTATTTTACAGTTTTCATGGGTCGTGTAGTCAGAATATTTTTCCTGTTTTTACTTCACACGTCTGAAGCAGAGAACATCTGGATCTGATCCTGCTGACAGTGTCCAGACTTCATGTGTGACACAGTTTAGGATTCAGTTACTTCCAGTGTTTAACATCATCTCTACAAGTCACTCCACTCTCCTCTTAGAGCCCAAAGTGGACGAGCAGGATGAAATATTTGGATGTTTGACTGCAGCTGTTTGAACAGACTTCAAGTGAAGTGAAA